TATATGAATATATAAAGATATAAATAAATATCTGTCTCTTATACACATCTAGATGTGTATAAGAGACAGGGATTTGCCACCCCCACTCCAACCTCCCGCGGTAAATGGTTATAGTTAAATAACTTAAAAGTTCCAGAAAAACAAAACATTGTATGAGCCCCTACTCTGCAAAAAGTTTTCCATTTCCAATGGAAGATGCTCCAAACGCAAAAAATATCCTCCTCTGCATTTACAATGCGTTTAGGTGTCAACATTCTATCAACCATACTATTGCACTACACCCCTGGTTCTTAATTTATTGATTTGAAGGGCCAAATTATTTTTAGATTTGATGTCACGGGCCAAAGAAAATCTCCGAGTTTCAAGTATCTTGCTATAATTCATGAACTTAAGGTAAAATCCTGAGATGCTCTGACCCCTCTGAATGTGGGGTCCAGAGGGCTAAGCTCCTGGAAGCTCTTACAATTTGGTAATTTTGAATGCTTATTAAAACCCGTATGACTGGACTACACAGGCAAAACTCCCCGGTGTGTCATTCATTTGCATCTACTAGGACAAAGAATATAGGCTAGGCCTACGTGTTTGAAAAACTGGATAACCAGAAAAAAAAAAAAAAGATTTAAAATGTATGGCTCACATGGATCGAGTATTTGCTCGCATGACTCGCTGGCTCGCACTTTGGCACTAACTCCACATTCGTTAGGGAGAAAACATATATCAAATTTTACAGAATAATAGGCCTACGCAGTACACTTTTGGACTTGGTTACTTTTTTGAATCGTCGATCCAAAAGTATGCAGCGCTGATAGATGTTGTTGAAATACAGATATACAGATACACACAGATAATTTTATCTGGTACCAATCTAAGCTCTTCTTTCCTTAGATGTTAGACTGTCTCTTATACACATCTAGATGTGTATAAGAGACAGTAAATATATATTATTTTATATATTCTGTATTTATTTATATATTTTTATATTTATTTGTAAATTTATATATATATATATATATAAATTTATTTGTGTATTCATTTATATATAAGTGTATATATTTATTATATATTTGTTTATATATTTATTTTTATATACTTATTTGTATATATATACAGTATCTATATATTTATTTATTTATATTTATATACTGTATTATTATTTTATATGTACTGTAATTTATTTATATATTTATATATTTATTTGTATATGTGTATTTATATATATTTATGTTTATATATTTATTTATATATATTTATATTTATTAATATGTTTTATAAATATATATATTTATATTAATATGTTCATATATTTTTAAATATATTTATATATATATTAAATATAGATAATATATTTATTTGTATATACATTTATATATTTATATATACTGTATTATTAATTTATATATATTGTAATTATTTATATATACATTAATATATTTATTTATATATATATTTATTTGTATATTCATTTACATATATTTATGCATTCATACATTTATATATATTTATTTGTTTATATATTTATTTATATATTTATTTACATAATTATTTGTTTGTATATTTATTTTTATATTTATTTATCCTGTATATATATTTATTTGTATATTCATTTATCCTGTATATATATTTATTTGTATATTCATTTATATATTTTAATATATTTATATGTTTATATTTTATTTAAAATATATTTATTTCATTAATTATCAGATGCTTTGGTCTCCTATACGCCTACAAGGGAGTAATAGCCTAGATATTATTATAGTGCTAAATATGTAAACTATATTACTGTATTACGCTTACAGTATTATTATTTTTATTACTATTAATAATAATTAGGGATAATAATATGGTGACTTACTTGTAGAATTCAGCATTTTGAAGCACTAGTATGCATCTGATCGAAAACTTGCAATGGTGGCTTGCATGGGCGGAGATCATTGGTCATGGGGTAAGGAGGAAGCATTTTCTCCCTCCCACATTTTATGATGGATGGTACCCCAACTTTTTGACCACAATATAATTTCATGTCAAGAAAATGCCTGAAAATTGTTGAAATCAATGCATAATGACCGGTAAGGGCGTTTGCAGCAGTGCCATTAAAATCATTAGCTTACTGTACTAATTTTGTAAAATAATGTATGGTGTTCATGCCATGGACCAACTGTTATTAAAAGTTTCTGAAAAAAAAACATCACACAGATATATATATATCTGTCTCTTATACACATC